TGGTGGTGGTGGTGGCGGCGGTGGCGTCCTAAATTGATACGGTAGCTGCTTCGCTGAGTGCTATTCAGATGGATGTACGAAAGCTGATGTCGCGACGACCAGAAGATCGACTATCCTCCTACTACTAAACTTACTAAGCACAACAAGAATAGTGATGATGCTAACAAGTACCACGATAGCCATAGCAGCAAGACGATGATGGTCGTCGTAATTGTCTTATCATCTCACGGCTTATGGCAGCAGCACCACTTCGGCCTGAAGAAGGAGCAAGTTCTTCAAGGATTTCACGAAGGCGCCAGAGTCCACGTTCGTCTGCTGCATGTTGTCAATCACGATGTTGCCGTACTGCGGCCAGAAATTGAACCTGGATGCTCAGGCTCAAAGGTCTGGCTTAAGAGCCTTTAAGGGCTTCAAGGAAGAAGCCACCGAGGCAAAGACCCCTCTGGTGCTGGCTGACCTTGCCGGCCGCGAGGTTCCGCAGCCGTGATGACAGCCTCAAACAAGCCGAAAAATTATCGACAACCGCACACCCTGCGAAGACAACCCGGGCTCGAACTCCCAACCACTCGAGAACGGCCATGCGCGGCTCATCCTTGGGATGCTGAGGTCTTGCACAATGCGATTTATTCAACCAACACATCGTAGGACCGGGTGGCAGACCCCGGCTCTCAGAAGGATGTCAACGAACTCTGCTGCCTGCAAGTCTGTGCTCTGCTCGTCAGTATCTCTACACTCCACGCTCTCCCGGCACCATCTCAGCCTGGTCTTGCGAACTGGTCAGCTTGTTCTGCAAGCCTGGCAGCCGCCATGCCGGGCACCGGAAAGAGGCGCGCATGCAATCACGGCCGCGGGGCCACGGGGCCGAGCCTTTCTGCAGTCCGTCGATCCGCTGCCGCGTGGCACGGCCCAGGCCTTCCCACTCCTTGGAGCCGGCCTTCAGACTGTCAGAAGCCGAAAAACGAAGGAGCGAAAGCAGGGAAAGGTGACGCTGTTCCGTGCCTCTGTGAGATGTGCTTTGGACGGGGGGGCTAACGCACCGTCCAGAGCTGACGGGGACAAGGCCCAACCAAGCAGAGTGTTCTCCTCAAAAAGAGACGAAAGGGAGCTCTCGGAGTCCCAAAGCAAAAGAAACCTCGGAGCTCGATCCGAGGCCTGCAAGAAGAGGCCATCCAGCTGCTTGCAGACGATCTCATTCTTGCGCCCTCGCCAAACCTAAGTCTCTGCACCCGAAACCAAAAAACGCCCAAAGCCTAAACACCTAAAATAGCTGGGGGGGGGGGGGGGGGGGCCCGGCCTCCCCCGGCCCCTTCGTAACAACCGAGAGAAACAAATCAGAAGCCAAGAGGACGACGAACTTGGGCTCGAAGGCCGGTCTCCAAATCTCCTGCCGAAAAAGGGCTCTTGCTCTTTATATTGAATTGGATCTGGGGCTTAGGGTTTCGGAGTTTGCTGGTTTTTTTGTTGATCTCTTTTTCCGGATTTATAGCAGTCTTTAAGTGCTTTCGCTCATCTGCGTCGGATCACGTACTTGGAAGGGGCACACACCGAGTGTGCGGTTGACGAGTTTCGGGTGAAAAGGCTAAGAAACCTCTGCCCACCTCCTTGAGGGGAGCGCCCACCAGGGCACTGACGTATTTGCTGTCTTTCTTGTCTTTCCTGGCCCGCAACCTGCAAGAGCTGTTCAGAACAAACGCCTTGGCCAAGTGCCGGTGACAATCTTGCTCTTGCGAGGTAAGGCGATCGCACATGAATCAGCTGACTGAACTGCTGGCTTCGAAGGTCGTTTAGCGTCCTGAGAACATTTGTGGCCACCAGCTGCAGGATCACCTATTTTACCACAGCAAGCGTCCCTTTCTTCAGCGCTTCAAGGTCATCTTGCAAACACGAGCCCGCCAATCTGCGCCACGACTTAGAGGCCGGAATCCCGGGGAAGAGCCCCAAGAAGCTGAGACCAGCACCGACCTCTTAGTTGCGCAGCCAGCTTGGATACGAGCGCTGCAGGGACAGCATCATCCTGAGATCTCCAAATCTTCCTGCTCAGCTCTGCTGACTGCTGACTCTTCTTCCGTTGCCTCCGCCGCCGCGACTAGGAGCTCGTTCATGAGCCTTCCGTCTTCACACTCTCTCTAAGCCTTGTCCTCGCGAGCCGTTCCGTGGGAGGAGGTGTCACAAAGAGTGCTGCCTCACTGGGACCCGCCCGTTCAACAAAGCCAGGATCAACGCCACCTGCACCCAAACTGCGATTTTCAGGTTGAGCGCCAGCTGCCCTAGTGCCTTCTGCTCGGAGGTAGCGGCAAGGAGCTGTGCCAGGGACACGGTTAGGACCGCCTGCTGACGGTCAGCTTGGAGGCTTCGACTTCGACTTGCCAGGGCAGAGGCCTCCTGAAAAGGTGCGATGCCCTCCCAGGTCGACGGCACCGAGCCGCCCTCCTCGCGCCCAGGAATCAGTTGCATCAGCGGTGCCCTGTAAGCACAGTTGCGCCTCACATCTCCTCCAACCCCTTAATTGCGGGCACGTGACAGATGCAGTTCCGCCACCCTCATGCGGGGCCTTTTTTGAGGGCCCGGCTGTGCTAGGAAGAGCAAGGCTTCCTCGAGGCCACGTTGTCGGGCCAAGCGGGCGGCCTTTTGCACATGGCCCGGCCCGGCACCGAAACATCATCGACAAGACATAGGCATATCGCAAAGCCTCCGCATCCAGGAATTCCCCGACCTCAGCTGCTAAAGCTCAAACCACAGCCTCCCGGCAGCCTCCCGCAAATCTGAACTCCTTCACCGCTGCCCGACCCAAATAGTAATCTTTTCTCATTACAGTAAGAACCCTTCTAGTGCCTCTTCATACCTCTTCTAGTAATACTGCGCATTCTGCCAAGGAGCATTGGCCACACTCAGTTTCTGCGCAGGCGCCTGCGCTGGTTGGAGCACCTGTGACGCGTTGCTATGTTTTGCCCATGCTTCTCGCTTGCAGGGGGCAGGTGGCCTTCATGAGCATGAGGTGCTCCCTCTCCGAAGATGCTGACGGAGCAGCATCCATCTGCCCAGTGTCTTATGGCAAATCTCATCGGAGCCAGATGCTGAACAAGTTCCACACCTCCTTTTGCCGCTTGACTTGTGTTGCCGGCCTCAGCGACGCAACTGGGACCCCGCAACATGCGCACAACAAAAAAAAAGAAAGTGCAAACATCATTCAAACATACCCGACTACCAGCAAGTTCAAGGAGCTCCTGCCCCGACGGGCCACGCTTCATGCACCGCCTCAGGCGCAACGGAAAGGAGGCGTCGTGTGCGCAGAGTGAACAGTAAGCACATGGGCAGGCTTCTCACGATTTTACTCCCGTTTTGGCTGAGATGCACCAGGCGGCGAAGCGGGAACTGAAGGCTTCAAGTGACCCACTGAGAGCCGTCAACGGCCCGTGCAGAGGGAGAGCAAGCGTCATAATCACTCTGCAAAGCTGACTCAACTTGGGAGCACTTGTATGCGCATGCAAAGACCTACCTATCGGGTGCGGGACATGTTGAGCCTCCACTTGAAGCAGTTGCCACAAAGCACAAGTCCACAACTTCTGCAATGATATCTGCCTCGGGTGCAGGTCAGCTTTGGTCTCGATCAAACATGTTAACATGGCTATGTGAACATGTGGCAAGCCCGGGCCGACTGCGAACTGTGACAGAGAAGAGAACCTGCTACCAGCAGACATGAATTCTGAAGCTAGCCCAGGAAACAAGCCAAGTCCGGTGTGTTCGCATCATGCTGATGTCAGTGTATTTTGCAGAGAGTACCTTGCAGCTGTGGCATCGCGGGGCCAAGTGATCCGGCACGAAGAATGGAGGATGCGTTGCCTCACAAGGCTTCGGAAGCTGGACTCCCAAACCTCTTATACTCTGGGCTCTAGGCTCTAGACCACCGAACAGGATTGCCTTTGCAAAAAAGTCCCCCGAACCCTACAGCCTAAACCCGAAACCCCGCAAAAGAAACCCCGAGGCCAACAGGGCCCTTGGGCAGCTGCTGGGATGGAACGGGTATTGAAGTACGCCTGCTCTCGGTGCAAGGTCTCCCGGTCCTGGCCGTCATGTAGAGGGGTGCTCCCTTTTGGGCAGGTCCATAATTAAGGAGCCTATGATTCTGATATTTAGTAGGGTCCAAGGACCCTAAACCTTAAATTTACTCAAACTGCCACATCAAGGAAACAGAAGCATGGCTTCTTGTCACGGCTGTGCCTCGGCCGTGAGCTGGACGGACGACTCCTGCAATCTCCGAGCTTCTCACAGCAGACTTCACTCCGTCACTACGACGCCAACCCCGAGCACTGACTCCCAAGAGCAGCCCAATCATTCCTTCGGACGTGTGGTACACCGGCATCGCGGTCCAACCCACATAGAGGTTGAGGGTTTAGCGGGAGATCTGCTGAAGAGATTGGGAGCACTGTGACCTGCGGTCCTGAAACCGGAAGCCGTTTGAGACCACAAGGCATGACATCCATCGCTTGGCCGCCAAGTCCTGCAAAAGTCTGCTTGGGACTCTCAACGTGGCGTCTTTGCCTTTGCTCGGAGGTGAGCCTGGGGTTCCCGAACGTTCCTTCTTAGACGCAGCGTACTCTCCCATAGCTGATGCTTGCTTAACGGGTCCTCCCTACTTATATCAAAGCAAAGCTGAATGTGGTTGCTCAAGAACAGAGAATCCGAATCTAGTCCTTCTTGGATGTATCCACAGCTTTCAGCACATCGAACTGGTGCTGGCTCCTATTAGTTCCAGGAGCATAAGCAAGTTGCGACATCCACAAAATGGCTCACTGCTCTTGTCCACTGTGCCCGGCACCGGAACGCGACGTTGGCCCGGCCGTTCACCAAGAGAGACGTCGCTCTGGCATCTAACCTGTCATACGAGTACATACCATATAGAGCGATGCACTCTACAGACTAAGAGCATGTTTCCAGCTGCCTGGAGCAGGCTTCAAGGATGGGAGGCCACTCGAACTTGTCAACCTTCGCACTCGAACACAGGATTTGCATCACAGAAGGACTGAGGAACTCGCCTGGTTGACGTCTGTCTCGGCATGCTGAAGCAGCTGCAGGATAACGCTGTAGTGAGCCTGGCTCCCAAGCCCGAACAAATTTGGCCTTCTGGGCTGGAATTGGAAGGACCCACCTTTGACACAGCAAAGTGCAGCGGCGTCCAACCGGTCGTCTCCTGACACGAAGCTGATGAGTCTAAAAGTTTCCGTGCCCGAAACCCATGCTGCGTCCTCCTGGGAATTTGGATGGCAGTTGTTGTCAAGCAAGACCTGCACCAATCCTGGGCAGCACCGGAGCTCCCTGAGTCTTCGTCTCCCGAAGTTTTCCCGGTCTCTGGGCTTCCAGACCCAGGTCTCCGTTCTGCGCAGCAAGGTGAAGTGAGGTCTGCCCTCGCATGTCTCGAGCCTGGCAGGATCGGGTCACGAGGATGCTTCCCGGCCCAAACGGCGTGCCTCGAGGTCAAAGGTTCCCTTGGGGCAGGCCTGGTGCAACAGGTGAATAGATATCACGCTGAGCTTTACGAAGATTTGTGCCCTAGGACGAGTACGGAAAGGAGGAAGGAGAGGATGTCGGCACCAGGGCTGGCTGCATGCATGCCTTGTTGAGACAGCATGGCAACTTCATGCAGTCAAGGCAGGCTCACTACATCCACAGAGCGATGGCCTTTGCATACGACGTGCAGCAGCGTGTCCTTCTGACGACTTGTGACCGATGACCCTGACATTTGGAGGTCTGCACACGAGCACTTCCTGGTCGTTATTGCGCATCTTCCCGAGGATGGTGAGCCTGGACGACAGGCTGTCTATCTACAGCCGTGTCCACTTTGGCACCCGCGATGTGAGCGCCCACTTTGCCTGTCTTGCGGCAGGTTGCTCACGATCATCCTGAGGAAGTCCTGCAAAGGCCACGAAAAACGTCCGAGAGCCCCGAAGGCACCCGGCACCCGCGTAGGCGCTGCCTCGTTGCACACGAGGTCAGGGCTCAGGAGGACGTGGTGATATTTTTCGTTCTCCAGGACTTCCGGTATAAGCTCCTCCGGAGATACCGCAAAGTGGCCTCAAGGTGTGACTGGAGCTCCCTGTGAAAACTACTGGATCCTGCCAGATCTCTAGGGTCTCTAGGCAAGATCCGGGCAGACCCTGGCTGTCCAAATTCGGGGCTGTCTGAAACTGCACAGAGCCTCAGCCTTCCCAGCAGTCCTTGACCCATGCTTTCGACAGAAGGTACGGGAGGCGCTCCTTTGGCCTCGGACCGCTTACGAGCGAGATAGGGCATGCACGCGGCCCGGTTTCCCGGGCCACGCACCCCTTTTGCAAGAGCTTGTGGAGGATATCGATGAACGCTTGTGGTCCTGTAGATTGTGGATGTCTGGCCAGCACTGAACCAACAAGCGAGCTGCGATCTGCCTTCACCAACAGGCTTTGCAAAGTTCAGGGTTTGGAGCGCATGGAGCTCCTCCTGACAGTGTGGTTCCGACCCGGTATTTCATCGGCGACGGAAGCAACACCAAGCGCGACCTTCGAAAAGTAGGAGTCTTGGCACTTCTCCGTGATTCGCTGCATCTTTGGCCTCATGTGGTAGCATATGAGCCATCCCTTAGCCCCTCCTTTCCAGATCTTCAAGAGGCTTTGGACCTCGAAGCTGTTCTCAGCTGCGGTATCGGAGCCCTTCCCGGGTCGGGGGGTCCTCAATCTTCAGTCAACGCCAGGCCATGAAGTAGCGCATACCGGAAAGGACCATGGAGCGCCTTGTGGTGCAGTTGGCCCGGAGCCTGCCCATGCAGCTGCGCTCGCTTCGCAGCATGCACTTTCCAAGACACTCAAGCAATGAAACACTGGCTGAACAACGCTGTCAGACTGCGACACTAGGAACAGGGAGGAATCAGAACATGTTCCGGCCTTTCTTTGCGGGGCCTTCGATGGTTTTGGCGATTTCCTGCACCATGGATAAACGGATAAACATTCGCATGGCATTTCAAGACGGAGATCTTTACAAAATGCACCTCGAAAGGATCGTCTTCCTCATCCTCTACCCTGAACGTCTCCAGCAGCTCGTCCGAGTCCCTGCGGTGCACACAGGCTGCGCAACAAAGGAACACTTGTGGAGTCTAGGACCAGGACCGCGCGGATGCCGAGGTATTTCGAGGTGAGGAGACCACGACTGACACGCAAACGTTGTTTCCAGGAGTCAAGCAGAAACAGCCTCTGAGAAAGTGGCTGTCTGGTGATGGCTCGGTCGCTGCACTGACATCTCCCAAAGGTTTCACTGTCTCCTCTGGGTTCATGGACTTGAGCTGCCAAAGAACTTCCAAACAAAGCTCAGGTGCCTTCATGTCAGCGAAGCCTTGATGTATGCGGTACCAGAGCCACTCGTCCTGGCGCTGGTGCTCCGTGCCGACCCTTCGTCCCTCGTCCGTGAAAGCAACCTCGCGTCCTCCGCCTTCCGCAAGAGTTTGGAGATGGCCAAATTACCACGGGAGACATGCCTGGCACGTCTGCCAGGAAGCGGAACAGCTGTCGGTGCCATCTGTGAGGCCGGGTTACCTTGCAGTTCGGCCGTCCACATTCCGTAGAAAAACGTCAGATCCAGCCTGCGCAGGATTCTTGCACTGGCTTCACGATGTGTAAGGCTACCCCCATACAAGTTGAAGCTCAGGGTCCTCGATGAGAACCTGGACCTGAGTCTCGAATGTCTCGACTCTGAGGCCTCTACTAGCAGCAGGAGCAGTAGGAGTAGGAGGCGAGTAGGAGCAGGGTGAGTAGGAGTAGGGGCAGGGGCAGGAATAAGGACGGCTCCATCACTGCATAGTGATATCTTTGACTTAGCTTCCTCTTATGGTTTTGCTATCTCCTCTGGCATTTTCGCGCTTGCTTCCGCATCTATCGAGCTTCAGTGTTCAACCACTACTGAACGAATGGCCGGTGTGCCCTAGATCCGAGTGGAAAGCCGCTTGCAACACCGTGGCACAAAAGTCAAATCTTGCAGGCAGCGTGCCACACACCACGCCAAACCTGTACCTCAACAGATTCTCCGACCAGACCTGGAGTTCTGAGCATGCTTCCCACGCGCGTACAAGCAATCGGACGGAGAAAAGGTCCTGCCGACTGGGCCCAAAAGTCCTTAACGGAAACCTGGTAGCAAAACCGTTTTGCTGCCAATGCCACTGCCTCAGCGCAACTTGTAGAGCCCGGTGATGAGAAAAGAGGTTCGGAGTCGATCTGCTGCCGCTGCTAGCTAGGTCATGAGAACCTTCGTCTCCCGTAATTCCCACGCTTCTCGCGTTGTGAGCAACGTTTCGTAGGTAACTCATCAAGCAAGCTGGGGTGACAATACTTGCTGTATCTAGGGCTGCCTCTTTGCCTCCTTTGCGCAGCGTTTAAGCCAGCGGTTAAGCACTTGTGGGACCCCGCCCCTACCGGCTTTTTTCTTTCCGGTCCACGTTGTCGGGATTGGTGCGCACTGGAACTGCTGCGGTCTGGCATTTGAAAGCAGCAGCACAGCGAAAACAACTATGGTCTCCTTGTATAGTTCTTCCAACACCGCTATGTAGCTCCATATCCAACCTAGCGAACAGGATCCAATTAAGGCTCACTGAGCTCCACACGACATTGACGTGACATGCATGCCCAGCCAAGTGAAGAGGTGTCCAGAGGTGCGAGCCACCCCTGAATGCAAAAGGCAGACCACATGACTTTGCCAGATCGGAACAGCTGCCTCAGATTCAGATCGAAGACTTGCGGGCACGTCCGCACTCTGCTGCCCTTTGGCTTCTTGGACCTGGCAGAAGGGTCTCATGCTTCACGGGACTCTCCTGCACACTTGCAACGCGACGGCATCACTGGTGCGAACAGGTGCCCTTCTGGCAGGCAGCGTCGAAGGAGTCCAAGTTACTGACAAAGACCACTTGCTTCCGCCAAGGTTAAGTGTGCATGCGTGGTAGGACTGGCATAGACGCAGTCGGGCTGCTTTTTCGTGCACCACGGCGCAGCCGTCTTTGCAGCATCAACCCCTCGCTGAGGAAACACTGCTTAAGCGAGCGTGTCGTCCAGCAATGTTTGTGAAACCTCCCTGCCGTTTTATCTGCGAGGCATCTCTGCAGGGCCTCCAACGGAAAGCTCCAGCTTCGGACTTCGACCTCTCGACAAAATTTCCAAAACTCGTCAAGCTCCACGGAGACGTTCACTATCGCTCACTGATGCTCCACTATCATATCTCTGCCTTTCTCCGATGTGCAGCCAAGGCACGCAATCACCCAGACCATCCCATGGACGCCCAAGCGGAAAGAGAAGCGGACGGAAAGAGACCATGGCCTGTGCATGTTGCAAGCCCCAGCCAGCGGAAGCTCCGACAGATTTAAGCTTCTGCGCTTACTGTAGTAGGATATCTGGGCGAGGAGGTAAGGCAAGAGAAAGCTGACCACTGACTGTCAGAGCCACCCGGAGTACCCAAAGCATCATAGAGATTGCTAAGTCAGCAAGCAGGTCTCAACACCAAGCCGTTCTAGAGAAAGCAGCCCAGAACCCCAAACTATACACGAATCCAGTATGTGAAAACACAAATACCGCGGTAGACGAACTACTCGGTATTAGCTGTGTGCCTGGATGACCTCACATCATCTGGCAACTACTTAGCTTTCAGGGTTTAGGGTTTAGGGTTTAGGGTTTAGGATCCGACGTCTCAGAACCTGAATTCAAGGCCCAGCGAGCCTCCTTCCTGGATGGCTCGTAGGTGACGTGCAGGTGGCAAGGCTCCATGAGCCTTCCTGGATACTCTGGGGACTCTAGGGTTTTGGGTTTTGGGTTTTGGTTTGTAGATTAGGGTTCTCTTAGAAGCAGGCTCGAAGCCGAGCCTGTGCCCTAAGCACCTGGGTGGTTGTCAAAATTATGGTCCCCTTTTTGGGTCCCTAATATAATACGGCACCTAATATTTAGGGTACCCCAAAAGGGACCCTCATTTTGACAACCACCCACATGATGTTTGGACAAATCCAGCCGACCTCCGAAGGTGTGACAGAAGGCTGAGCACTTGGTGTGCAGGTCGACCACCAAAAACTATGTGTCGTCAAGAGCTGCGTAGGACTTCCTTGGGCCCATCCAGCCAGCGAAATGGCACGGCGACTTTTACGCCCGCAAAGTTGAACATGGGCTGAACTTCCGACAGGTAGGAAATCCAGCACATCTGATGTTCTGGCGAACCTGTGAAAATGTTGATGTCTTCGTCGAGGACAGTGCTCCTCCTCTGCTTCTCTGCACTGAGCTTCGCCAGGGTCGTAATGACGCCCAGTCCGCGGAAACACCCGATTGGCAAGGTCAATCTCTGGGTGAAGGCAAGTCTGCGCCATGTACCTGTGGCGTTGCCCCAGCAAGGGCTGAAGCCCTCTGAGACTCCGACTAAACTTCCCAGCACTAGCATCAGGCCTGCAATGCCTTGCCTTGCCTGCCAACTTACTGCTTATGGAATGCCTAAGTGACTTTATTATCTACCAGGCCTCTGCAGAATATGGACGGATAAGACATGCAGGTCCACCACCAGCTGACAGCCGGGATTGGCGATTCGAAATCAATCAGCTCAGTCTTCGGGGATTGTGCACGAGATGCATCTTCGCCAGTTTCCTGTCGTCCTTGCCGGTGACATACTCGTGCCATAAAGTCTTCGGCAATGCCCAGCGCTCCACTGCTGAATGCGGCGCCTGATGCTTGTTCACCAAATTGCCATTCCTGCGCTTTGTGCTGACCTTGGCACGCCGAGTCAGAATCTGAACGGCCACGCGGGCCTCAAATTGCTGGCACTCAGAAAGTCGGCTGACAGACTGTCGTTAGGTCGCTCCGTGAAGCCAGGCTATCGTTGAGCCGGACATCCCAGATCGCCGTAAACCGAAGAGAAAGTCTTGACAATCGGACGTGCTCACGCGACTGGACAACCTTACCGTTGTACCGATCTCATCCTCAGCTGGGGATTCCTCGCCCGACCCGGCACTTGATTCATGCTCGACGAGTGGTGGTGCTGGAGGAGGCGGTGGCAAGGCCATCGAGTTCCGGACCACATACCTGTGAGCTGCTATGGCCCTCCTCAAATCCAACTCTTGCTGCCGCAAAGATGCCATCTGCTCGCTCAGCTCGGGGTGCTCCTCCCTTTGAGATTCGGTGCTCTGCTTCCGAACCTCCTGGTTCTGCAGAGTTGCCTGCAGTCGATGCTCTTCCTGCGCAAGAGCGGCACTCCTTTGGTGCTCTTCTTTCAGTTTTCCACGCAGGTCCTCTTGTTCACACCTCTGCTCTTGAACTTCTCTCTGCAGCAGTTCCACCTCACTGAGCCCTAAAGCCCTTTCTTGGCAAAGGCTTCTCCGAGACTCCGAGAGCTCCGCCGAGAGCTCCGCCGAGAGCTCCGCCGAGAGCTCCCGAGTCTCAGAAAGACTTTTGAGCTCGGAGCGGAGCTCGGAGACTTCCTTGGCCTCCTCTTCTGAGGCTTCCGTCTCAAACACAAGGGATCTGCGGCAGCTCTCGGCAGCATCCTTCATGTGCAAGACCTCCTCCTCGAGCCGCAGGTGATGGGATTCTGCAGCCTTCAGATGGCTCTGCAATTCCTCGGCCCGCAGCTGCGCTGACTCCGCTGACCGCTCCGCTGCACGTCTTTCCTCGGCCGCTGTGTCTGCTTCCACACATCCTCGCATCTCCAGCGCCGATATCTCAGCTGCCCTCTCGATGACTTCCTCCCTCAAATCTTTCTGTATCTGCTCGCTCTGCCGGAGACACTCGCACTCTCGGTCCCAGGCCTCCTCCTGCAGTCCCTGCAAAGAGAGCGCGATCTTCTGCTCTGCGATCTTCTGCTCTGCGATCTCAGACCTCATCTGGCCCTGCAAGTCTTCCTCTGACTGGCACTTTTGCCTCTGACTGGCCACTTCCTCTCTCAAGGCCAAGATCTCGGCTTCGGCCTCCTCGCTTCCATGCTCTACGAGTATGTGCTCCTCGCCGTTCAAGACTGCTAGGACATCCGCCTCCTGCCTCGCGTGCTGAAGCGCCTGCCTCGCTGCTGTCATTTCAGAAATCAGGCTCTGGGCATCCTCCTGGCTCAGCGGGAGCCCCAAGTTGAAGGATTGTAGCGTCGCACTGCCGGTAGTAGCTCCAAGAGTATCTTCGTTGCTCGCGTTGCTCTCATTGCTCGCGTTGCTCGCCATGCTCGCCATGCTCGAAGACAGAATCGCACTGTGCCGCTGCTCTAGGGCAGCCCTGGAGGACTTCAGCGCATCCGCTTGCAAGACGCTCAGGCGACCCCTGGTCCTGCTGGTGCGGCCCGCGCGGGCGGGGAGGCTCAGCGTGGCCATGGAAGCCCTTGGAACGACCTTTGGGACCTCGGGCGGAGCAGTCTGCTCTTCAGCGCCGGGCTCGGGCTCGGCTTTAGCATCAGGGCTGCTCGATCTCGAGGAATCCCCAGGCATCGCCTTCTGAGTTCGCAGAGGCTCTTCGCCCCAGGCTCAAGAGGCCCGACACGACGCCATCTCTTGGACAAGCCAAGGTTTCCCTCTGAGTTCTCCAAATCTTGCGGAAACCTGTATGCCGTTGAGGTCAAGTCGACACACCAAGAACGACCCTCGAGCGCAGAAAGGCATTCCAGCACACAGCATCCTGCCTGAGCACGAACGCAATCCCACGCAATTGGCCTGGTGGGCACTTCATGTTTCACGCCTTGACACCCCCAATTATCCCGATAGACATGAGTAGACCAGGCCTACCCCTACTTGAATGTGCAGACCAGTCATGATTCGACCTCGTCGAGCAGCGAGGTGAAGCGGCGCCCACTTGTCACTGTTCATCCTGAGCTGCGCAGTGCAAACAGCAGAATCAAGCGTGAAACAGTACAAGTCAGAGAGCGGACCGAGCCCGGTGCATGTTGCAATCAGCATTGTGCTGCAACAAGATTTTGCCAATGGCTGCGGCTCGCTTACCACCCTGCATGCAACAACCAACAGTCTGGAATCCCAAAATGGGCAGAACTTCCAATCGCAGAGCCTTGTCGAAAACCGACATCAAAACATGCAGAGGGGCGTTTCCTTCAACAAGATTACATTGACAAAAAAGCTCTGTCAGCGCGTGCTCTTGTCACTTGTCTGGCTACAAACATGGCTCTGCTTGCAGATCATGCCCGTCCATCAGCATCGGTCTGATTGACGTCAGCTTTTCCTCGAATAAGTAACATCACCTCAATCAACACCAAAAGCACGCGGCGATCACGAGACATTCTGCCATGGTGCTGCCATGGGACCATCTGCGGGTCAAAGTTGACCGTGGCCACGTGAAGTGGCGAGCCAAACAGGCCACCGCCACGATTCACGTCAACCCCCACCTTCGGCAAAAGACAGAGGATGATCCGCCCTGTGCCAAACGACACCGTTAACGACCCCGGTTTGCTGAGCGAGAAGCTCTCACAAGGGCATTGGCGATGTCAGGATGCTCCTCCAGGAGAAATGGGTGACAGGCGCGGTGACAGCACTTCTGGCCCTTGACGGACCTCGCGGACTGCTACAAGCAGCGGCGAGTAGCCCTCACAGTCCAAGGAATCGCACTTCGACCTCGGTGATTCAATAGGCCGATTACAGGGCTGTAACAACAGGGCTTACACAAGGGAGTTTAGGACCCTTTTAAATGGCAAAAATGGCCCCAACTCGGAACCAGACCCGTTCTCGGCCAGAGCCAGGGCTACACCAACATGTCCCTCGAGACAGGCCACGTGTAACCTGAGCACACAAAGTGAGCGCGGATGAAAGCCGGCCAATCTGAGGTTCAAGAGGCCTTGGATCTAAAATTCAGTCTGAGTTCTGTTTCTTGCTCTGCACTTTTGCTGCTGAGAGTCCTGACAACCGTTACCGGCACTAACCCGTTGTTGTTTTATGGAGGCCTATGGCAGGTGTCCAAGCGAATTCGCCCAGCCCCATCCCGGAAAGGAAGTGCTGGCTGAATGCTGCAAGAAAGGAAGCCCTGCCACACACAGCATCGATGTAAGTTCAGCGCCGAGTTCTCCTTTTGGAGTCGATTGCATTCGGATCGAAGGCCTTCTGCGAGAACTCCGACAGGACCTACAAGCCAGAGCATCGATGCAGCCAGGGACCACCCCATTCACAGTACACGGGCCTCTATACAGCTCACACGAGAATCCTGCACCCGGCGGAACATGCTGAAAATCAAGGCACGAAATGTCTATAGCGACGGCAAGATGACACAGGAGCCTTGTCTTTCTTCTCGCGACAAAGGTCTCTGAGCTTCACGATGATGCGCTGGAAAATCAAGCAAGTTTGCAAGGAGCCAGACAGCAGATTGAGGATTGCCGCACCTGCCACTCGGCTCCCTTTATCACGCGTGGTAGTGGCGGGGTAGTATACCTGTACCATGCACAACCACCCGTCTCTGCAACAAGACGACTCTACTTTAGACACGTGCCTGAACCATTCCAATGCAAGCTCTTGCAAATTTTCCAGTGCCCTCGGTTCAGCAGTGGTTTCTGATTGTACCTCATTGAACTTCGGATTTGTTTTGTGGTTCGACGGCGGAGACAGCACTTTGAGAATCCCGCGACAGGCTGGACGGTAAGCTTGTGAAGCTGTTGTGGTGCAAGTAGAGGGTCTGCAACTCCTTGCACCTGAAGCATTGAGGCCACTGAAAGCATCGAAAAAGGCACTCTAGACACTTCTCGAGCTTTGTGAAGACGAAAGTGGAGGCGAAGTGGGGACGGCGGCAGTGCGACGGACGGACGACGGATACGCGCCGGACTCTAAGACCGTCGCTCGTCCACCGCCCTCCATCGCTGCTGCACGTCCGTCGCGCGACTATTGTCAATCCGCGGCGTGAAAAAGTTGGAAAAGCATGATGCAAGTATCAGCTGATCAGGTGATAAGCGTCATACATGTTGCAATGTTGTAATAAGTCGTTTGATAATTGTCCAGGTGTGTTCGGGTGATTGTCGGCGTCACTGTCGGGTCGTATCGCATCGTGGTCGCGTCGTCGTCGAATCGTCGTCACCCCTCGTCGTGTCGTCCACGCCAAGTTGTCTTCCTGGCACAAATAAAGCGAGCGTGGATACAAGAGCCATGCTGTGTATGTTCGTGGCGATTGCTTGCAACCTGTGCAAACACTCTGCCCCGGTGTGCAGTCTGAGAGGTTGAGAGGAAGTCACGCCACCTGCTCCGAAGCAGCAACGATAGCAACGACAGCAGCCAGGATCTTTGTCCGCCAGTACTTCTAATTACTTCTACAGACGCGATCGCTAACCACGTGCGACCTCCCTTGCACAGCAACGAAGACAGACTCTCAGAGCGAAAACATCGCTTCGAGCTCCCAGCTGTCCAAGCTCTACCGGAATCTCTTCCAGGAAGTTGTCACCTGTTCCAGGCCCTTCAAGGCAACACCCCACACGAGGGACGGTGTTGAACAACGACTTGAATCTCGAACAGCATGTTGCAACATGCATCGACTTGCAACGACTTCGGCCGCTTGCCGCATGCTTCCAATCATGCTGGCCTAGGCTGAGACTCTTCAGTGACTTCATGGATCCCACAGCCTGCAAGACCAGCGCACGTCACAAACAGAGCGGGTTCTGGCGATTTTCATCCTAGCCTTCGGCAGCATCTTCAAGAGGTTCTGGCTCAAAGATAGCCCTCTCAGGTGCGGCAAAAGGCAGACCTGGCGGGGAACGCCCGAAGGAACAGATGACGCAGAGAAGGCGGACGAGCCTCGTCCGGGATCTCTCTCAGACGATTCTGATCCAAGAGCAGGTCCTCTCATTCCGACCGTATGCCCTGGTCACTGGTCACATGTAGTATTGCTCGGATCCGACTCCGTGCAATCTGCGTACAAAGGCAGGCACGAGACACGATGTTTTCGGAGCTGGCCGCACGACTGAAATATCTCTCGTTCTCCTCTGAAGAGGCCTTCGTGTTGAAACAACGCATTACAGTAATAAAAAGCCATGCTTGCTGCGACTACGACACCTCCACCACCGACAACAACACCACTGCCACCCTAACCGTCGCTACGATGAGATGCAAGCGGCACTCATGGCAACGGCGGCAAATACAAGTGTACAGCTGGTACTCATCTTCTTCGTGCTTCTACTATCTTCTACTAGCACTGGGAGCAGCAACATCGGAAGCCATAGCTGCAGCAGCAGTAGCAGAACAATCAGCACGATAGATGCAGCGGCAGTGCTGCCACATTACAAATGCAATCCTGTTTTCAATATTTGTGTTGACAACAAGGCCGTTGCAATTTAGTGCAGTGCTTGCCTCTGCCACTTTGTTGCCTGTGATCTAGACTAGATCCATGCATGTCTATGAAGCCACACCAGACCCTGGACCCTGAGGTGGCAAAAGATCCTGAGCCCCGTTGAATTTTTCGGTCGACGAGCCCTGTCACGACAATCTGAACACTATAAGCCTGCAAGTGTTGGGACTGCAACGGAAGCCGAAATAACACAAAGACAGAACGCTGTATGACTCGGAGTGCGCTGGTTGAGGAATTCATTAAGACACAAGCAGCTGCAAGGGATCGGCCGGACTTGACTTGATTGTTGTCTGGAGCAAGAAACAATGAGAAAGGTGCAATGAGCCACACCTGCTGCCGAACCTGTCGAGCTACACAAGAGGTGCAGAGGCGACAGCTTGAGAGGTCCTCCAACTGACTCATCACACGAATGTCTGGCAACAGCTCCTCGCTGGTGCGTGCTCAGGCACAGGATTAACGGATGAGCAAACGCTGAACAACGTCCTCCAGCGCATTCTTGCGAAGATCTAGAACCTGCTGGTCCGCTTCCAGCTGCTGATCGTTTGTGAGCACTGAGAAGGCAGCACCTTGACGTGCGTGAAAGCACTCAGGACCTACGAGCAAGGCAAGTGGCGAGCACTCGAACGCCAGCACAGAATTACACAGCACATCACAGCATCCCACACCATTCCGGCCTGTGCCGGAATCGCCGAGATCTTGTGGTCCTTGAGATCGAGCACCTCCAGAGATTTCTGAGAAGCATGTTCCTTCAGACCATGTTCAGTCTGGAGCAGACCTGCAAGTTGTGCTGGGAGGCTGCAGTCTCAAGCGCCCCAAGATTCAAAGTGCCGAGCCTTGCCAGGAAGGTCTTCTGTCACACATCTGATATCACAAAGCTCGTATGAGGGTTCTCTAAGGGTGCGGCTTGGCAGTGGAGAGGGATGCAAACATGCCCTGCATGAGCCACAGAGACCCCACTCTCTGTGTGAGGCCCAGTGCCATCAGGCCTTGGCCTCCTGGCTTGCCATAGAACGGCAAGGCTGCCTCCAAAGCCAAGCAAAATGCATGCATGGGTTTGTCAATACATGCTGTGAAAACCTGACCTTGAGGTGCAGGTGCTAGATGATCGATGCCATCGCAACACGGCGGCGCGGAATGGCTGGTGCCATCACGACTTCCAGAAGAATGGCTAATTATGTGGCTAGCCTGGTCCGGGCAAACTCGTCTCTAAACTCTAAAGAGCATATCAAATCACAGCTTCGGTTCGGCGGACGTGCTTCTTGACAAAACTTAAGTGGTTCTGCTAATGCCCCATATACCATCTTCGAGCACATCTCGTCGGATGCACAACTTGCGCGGACTGCTTGGCTGCTTCCTCCAGCCTCTGAGTATCTCTGTGGGTGCAGAGGCTTTTCAGGTCGGAAGGGATCCCGCGCTCACTTCCGAGAGACAGAGCAGGCGCTGTCGAGCCTCAGCCGTGGCGGGGCGACTCCCTCACCTTAAGACTCTTCATGCAGTCTCCCAGGGAGGATGCCGCCAGAAGCATCGGCGCTTGTGTCAGAAGGTCCTTGCAAGGCAAAGAAAACTCAAGCTTCGGCCCTCTCAACGAGGCCAGAAGCCCCCTCGGCTCCTGCCCGATCAAGGCGCAGGGCTTGACCTGCCCGAAGATCCTGGCTTCCGGCAGACAGCGCTTCAAAGCTCTGGAGTCCCAGGGCCCTGGCTGTTCAAAGCTTGCCACGTCCCCAATGGCGACCTGCTAACGTGCATCACAGCCGTCACCGGCACTCAAAGGCCCCCACCTCGACTGGGCCTGCATCCCAAGTGCAACGTGGAGCCCGTCCCGCACCGCGCAGCTGGCAGGAGTTACAGAAAACCAGAGACAAAAGCATGTAGGACCCCCCAAACGTCCGGTTTCTCTTGTTCATAAGAAGAACTACCACAATAGTGCGCCATACACACCCTGTAATACCCTGTACAGCAACCCTTGCAAAAACCCTTACCACAAATAAATCTTAGTAACCATCAAGCCCTAATGCCCGAAAGGTCCCTCTTTTCGGTGCGACCTGCAGGCTCAGATCCGGGACGGTGGGCATCAGAAGCTCCTGGCCCTGGGCATCCACGGAGCTGACACCTGCGTTGAGGTTTAGGGTTAGGGTTGCTTCTTTGCGGCCAAAACCAATCGACGATTGCTTTCTTTCTTCCCAGAACCCATGGACGATTGGCTTCTTTGTTCCTAAAACCCAACCGACAATTGGCTCCCAAGACCAATCGACGAGGGGCTTGGGAGTCCTAGGTGGTTTAGGATTTAGGACTTCGAGACAAGGGTTGGATTCAGGGAAAGGGAAACTCTGTTGCTATCCCGACTTGAGACTGCGGTCTTGAAGAAATGCTGGGGACGTGTCTCAGTTTTATGCCCCAAATGCAACGCAGACTGAACGGCGAGCCTCTTCGAGGCCTGTTCATTGGTGGACATGGAGCTTTCTAGGGTGAAAGAAGCTCCGGCGGAGGATCAGATTCTCTGATGTGGATTACTGGGGTGGAACTAACTTGAGGAAACTTGTGGCGCTTGGGACACCGGCAGGCTTCGGAGCATGCACGCACCATCCGCGCCGAAAAATGACAAAGGCAGCCGAACGAATATCTGCAGCAGAACCGAACGGAATATTCAGGCATCGCTTCCTCCTTCCAGGCCACATTTTGTGCACTGACAGCTTTAACCGCTCGCAGCTGGGCGTGCAGACGCTGGACCTCGGATTTCGCCGTTCGGAGCTGGGCTTCCGTCCGTCGGAGAAGCATTGACTGGTCCCCTGCTTCGCGTGAGTCGCATCGGCGGCCCTCCCTGACAGGCGGAGGGGGAATGCGGCGGCAGGCTTCCAGGATGTCCCCCTCCGTGATTTCCAAGGACGGGTTCGTGGCTGAAACCACTGCCTCTCGAGCGTCCAGAGACTGCTTGGCAAAGTCGAAGAGTCGCTCACAGAGCCCGCCGTTCATCATCTCGCGAGCTTCTTCCAAAGTGTTCGCCTCAATCACGTTGGAGAGGCGGTGGAAGCGGTTCTGCGACAGCGAAGGTGCAAGCTTGAAGCCGGCCCCACGGACGATGGAATTCAGAATTTCCGCGAGCTCACCAGGGGCGTAGTCACTAAAGTCGAAAGTGTAACCAATACGCCGGTAGAGGCCCGAGTTAGCCTGCATGAACAGGTCCATGTCATCGGCATATCCTCGGTCTCTGCCCCTCTGCACCGAACATGAAATTCATGTTTCTGAATGTCTTGCGAAAAGCCGGCCTATACAGGAACTAACGAAATAGCAACACGATTGGCAAGAGCAAAAGAAAACGTCCTCAACCGCAACCGCGGCTCCTGCAAAGACCATGATTGGTGCCTGACTGCGAATGCCATTCGATCTGCAAGGCTTACTTCCCATGCCGGACGATACTTTGACTATCTACGACAACTTTCTTTGGCAACTCTTCTCGCCTTGCCCGGTGGGTCGTTCATTGCACCCATGAGCTGCTCGATGGCTTCCCGGCCAAAGTCGCTTTTCCCATTGTCCTGGCTCAGGCGGTAGGCCTCATCGATGAAGAGGACACCCTGCTTCGCCTGCTCGATGACTTTCTGCGTCTTCGGCCCGGTCTGCCCAACCTAGGTCTCACGGATCTGCAGTGACCTGAACCGTTTCTCTGCCCTCGTAAGGAGGCCGCTGCACATGTAGCAGCACGAGTTGTCAGAATGAAGACAAGGAAGGATCATGTTGAAACTGCAACACACATCAAGCAAGGCACATATTCTGCCACAAGCTTATCCCGCTGGACTTCCACCAAGAGGTCTGTCTGGATGATGCCAATTCGGTGCAGAAGCTGTGCAATCACTCTAGCCAGGGATGTCTTGCCCGTACCAGGGTTGCCCTGAAATGCAAGATCAGGGATATTTCTAGACATTCGAGGGCACGAGAGGAACGGCCGGGAGAACCCACATAGCGGGCATCGCTTTGCTCATCCCGCTGCGTGCTTACTGTGATGACTCTCAACACCACCAGTAAGCAGATACCGCGATCAATGTTACTAGAAGACTTTCTCTAGACATTGACATTCTGGTGCACACCATGGCACCTCGAAGCTTCACATGGTGTCTGCCCGTGAACAAATGCTTGCTAGTGACTGCTAGTCTGCTGGTGCATGAAGATGGCGACCGCGAATACTTTACTAGAACCGCAGGACTTTTTTCACGTGGAGCCTGGAAGATCATGTGGTACTTACCACCTGTCTTCACCTTGTGTCCGGCATCCTCCCGCTTCTTGTCCAGAACGACAGAATGGTGGAATTGCCGAATCTGCTGCTTCAACAACTCGAGGCCCACAACCTATGCTGCAAAAAGAACGTCGACGCGCATTCAGGGCACACGGAATCACACGCCAGCACCGTTTTGGCAGACCGTTTTGGCAGGCCGTTTTTGCTGTACTGAAATGCAGTCATGCCAACGTGTAGACTATGCAGCACAGACCAAGGCGTCTGAAACTTTACCGCAAGGCAGAAGAGACGGCTGGGTTTGAAGACGCCAGCACGGAAGGACAACACCAACACATATACATCTCGAATCTCATGACTCCACAGGCACTGCTTGTGAGACGAAAGCTCTATGCAAAGGACGCGAAGGATGAAATCATTGGATTATAAGCTTTGTTTTTGGCAAAACGGAAAAGCCAAGCATTCCGAAGGCAGGCCCCCACTGCGAACTTCCACAGCTCAGCCCGTGGCCCGATCTAACTGGTACTCCAGCCACTCACCCGTACCTCCAGCATAGACCTCCAGTTCTGCCCAGCTAACAGTCGAAGACATGCTGAGATCGATTTCGGAGAACTTTTCCAGCAGTGGCGGAAAGACAGCCTGTCAAGGACGGCAGAAGACGCTGACTCGAAGGTGATATTTAGTTTGTGATATGAGAGGATCCCCGGCCTGGATCCGCGCCCGGTGTTTGATCAGGTCAGCCACCCGGATCTGGCCGCCAGGACCTGCGCGGGAGACATCGGCAGCTTCTGGCGCTCCGCCCAAGCAGACGAACTTCTGTCAGCCATGCCTGCCACCTCATCAAACATGCTGCGCAGCTGTACCATGTCAACCTTTCGTTGTCGCTCCTCGGCGCTCGCGGCCTTTCCCACACAGTAGTCCAGGAAGGCCGCACGCGTGACGCGGCCATCTTTGGCAACGGACTCGTACTCCCGAATGAAGTCCGGACACTCGGCTTCCAGAAGCTTCGCTTGCTTCAGCACATCGTGAACAGTCACGAAACCCCGTTTGCTGGTGTCGAGCTTGTCCCAAACACGGATTGCTTCGGCCTTTGACTTCTTCCCAGATGACGGTCTAGTGGGGCTGTACTTCTTCGGCCCTCTCTTCATGCAGCGCTGGAGGCCAGCAAGCAGATCAAGGCAGCACGGAGCATCAGAGCCATGAGATACAAACTCGGAATCGAAACCGCAGTAATTCCGGAAGCAAAACGCACCAGTCTATCGCAAAATGGGTTTGAGTGGGGTCGTTGTGTCCAAGCTACAGCTACCTGCCATTATCCGCCTCTTCTCATGATATTTCAGCTTGTAGCCAAAAGGCTGCAATCCAACACAAGTGAGCCGAACCGCTTCTTCCTCGGCATTGACGGCCGCTGCATTCCTAAACCCGGAAGAAGAACACGTGGCTTTGAAGGATTCGAAAGCCCCGGACAGTATGATACTGCTTTTTACTCGTAGTACTTTAAGCGATTTACCGGACCGGGAAGCCCGCGGCCCGCGGCCTCCTCTTGCACTGAGCATTTCCTGAGCATCCGCCTGGCATTCGCCAGCGGCAGCTGACTCCCATTGGGGTTAGAGTTTAGGGCTCCGGGAGGTGTAGACCTCCACGAGATTGAGCAGCATCTTGGCAGCAGCCCAATTCAAAACCTTGAGTGGAGCAGTGCTGTCCGACAGGTGGTGCAAAGAGCTGCGAACGTGAGTGAAACACCCACTGGTAAGGCAGCATCCGTGAAGGATGCTCCTGTGTCGATGACTCCACAGACGCCTGCAAGTAGTTGCGCGAAACGGAGATGCTTTGCCGAAGAGGGTTGTGTCTGCAACACTGCCAGCTGGGCCACTGGACATTGGTCTGACCCAGGCAGCCCAAGATGAACTCCAAGAAGACGGGCAGGCAAAGGAACTGACAGGAGCTCAGGAGACAAATACTCAGTTTACAACCTCGACTTTGAACCTGTTGCCACCATCCCATCCGCCCGGCGCTCCATCCAGTTGTCCATCCATCCATGCACCCCACCCATCCATCCACACCTCAGCCGCACAAGCATTCATCCGTCCATCCGTCCATCCATCCATACATCCTGCCCCGTGCGTTAAAGATGCCAGGCTGACGCCATGTAGCCTCGCGACAACCTAACGGACAACCGCACATCATTCCCATCACATCATGCCATCCAAACTACCTCCCAGGAGAAAACCCTTTGGAAAAACCAAAGCGATGCAGCTCGACCTGTCTCTCCCAATCTGCCTGTCGTCAGTCTGACCATGTCGTTCGCGACGGCTATCTTCTCTCCACAGTCTGCCTCTGGAATGTACCGTCATCTGCGGCTGTGCATGCGGCAAGGAAACCCAATTGCCGAGAGATGCCTCGGCTCCGAACCCCTAGCGCCTCGTACAATCGAAGAGCCGATGCATCAACTTCCATCTCAGCTTCCATCCATGCACGTCGGGACACCGATTTCTCCTATCTACGTCTCAAGCTTGACGCAATGCACAGTTCGGCCGTCGCCGAGGAAGGTTTGGGCCCATGCCGTAAACCGCTCGAAGAACTCCATGCCTTTCGGCACTCTGCATTCAGGGAAAAAGTTGACAATAACCGGGGAGCCCTTTCAAGCCTTTGGGGGTCAGCCTTCAGGTATGCGGGCACAAGTACACAAAAACACAAACTACATAGTGAACTACATACTATATACGATATACCATATACTATATGGACACTATATAGTATATAACATATAAGAAGCTTGCCTTGCAGAGGGCCGAGTCCCGAGCCGAGCATTCCGTCTATTTGGATGCCCATGGATGCTCCCATCCTGCCGACAAACTGCTACTGCAGTAACCATCATCACCATCATGGTGACGATCAAAAGTATAAAACAATGAGCACCATGATGAGGATGATGATGATGGTGATGGTGATGGTGATGGTAATGGTGATGGCGATGATGATGATGATGATGATGATGACGACGATGCTGGTGATGGTGGTGGTGATGGTGATGGTGATGGTGATGGTGATGGTGATGGTGATGGTGATGGTGATGGTGATGGAGATGGTGATGGTGATGGTGATGGTGACAGTGGTGATGGGGATGGTGATGGTGATGGGGATGGTGACGGTGATGGTGATGGTGATGGTGATGGTGACGGTGATGGTGATGGTGATGGTGATGGTGATGATGACGGTGATGATGATGATGATGATGACGATGATATAATGATGACTATGATGATGACGATGACAATGACAATGACGATGATGTTGATGATGATGATGGTGGTGGTGGTGATGATGAATGTAATCATGGTGATGACGACGATGATGATGATGATGGTGTTGTTGATGACGAGGATGATGGTGATGCAAATAATCAAAGTAGGAGCAATCGCAAACTTGATGGTAAAACCATAAGAAGTAGTAGTAGTAGTAGTAGTAGTAGTAGTAGTAGTAGACTTAAGTAGAAGAAGAAGAAGACATCCACAACGTGGCCGGAAAGGCCAAAGATGTCGCCCGCACAATTCCTCGAAGGCAATTACACACCCTCTCAGGCCGCACACCGCACTCTCACATGCTGCTTCATGCCTTAACTTGTGAGCCTCCTCAACACTCGAAAACGGCCTTTCTCTCTTCTGCATCCCAGGCAGCTGGGCCTCGCTTAACTCCGATCTCCTAGGTCCTAAGGCATCCTGATCCTCTCCTCACACCGTCAAACCTGCTGAGAAAGATTCCAAAAAAACTTCGGTTTCTCCCTTCAATGCTCGCCAGTGACCGGCAAGGGTCTGCTTCCAAGGCCACAACAATTACAAATCCAAAAACCTTGTGGCGCGCCTCTGCTGCGGGAAGTCCATGATGAAAGGCCTTACACCCACAAAAGCTGTGAAACTGAAACACCTTTGCAGAGCCAGAAGGCCTCAAAGAACCAATTGGAAGGCCTTCGCGCAAGCGCAAGTCCTCCAAGATCACCTCGTCGCTCTCTGTGCAACGTACCCCAACAAAGGCTTAGGACATCCAAGAGCCAACTGTGGGAACTTCTCCGCGTCCTTGCCGCGACGGCCTGACAAACATGAGAACCGAAGTTGACCAGCACCCAGAAACTCATGCCATACTCGTGTAGCAGGCAAGCCGATTGCAAGCAAAACCATGCCTTTCAACACCCAATTCGTCGGCCCTGCCCGGGCAAAGGATGGACCTGGCAAAACAACGATTGCAGCAACGGAAACAGAAGAGCTCTGTCAAAAGGGAAGAGCATAAGCGTGATAAGAGGCCGAAACAAAGGGACTTGGTAACTAGGGTTTTAAATACGGTAACCATAGTTATAATTACTTATAACCCCATTAGGGTACTTATACAGGAATGACAGCTCTTTTCTTGCCACCGTTGGGCTCATGACTCGTTTCCGTTCGTTCGCAAGAGCTCAATCTAATGTAGTGAAGAGAAACAACGCATATTAAACCGGCTCGTTTGGGACTCCCTTGAAAGATATCCCAAAATTAAAACCTTCATGAACGACTCTCGGGCGAAAGACTCAGGTTATGAAAGGCAAAAAAAGCGTAAGGAACGCACAGTTTTCTTCTTTGGCTTTATCTGCTTGACCTTTTGCAACAGGCTTCGCACATCACCAGGACACCAAAGACCCAGATACAACTAATGACACACACCGCTCACGACACCTCGTTTTGGGTTATGTGCTTCCTTTCATTTAATTCATGCTTCGTTCCATGCACTATACTTAAATGAAAGAAAACAGGTACCCAAAAGATAGGAAAGTTATTCCTGATCCCGGACGGAATTCCAAAAATTAAAAGAAACTGTAAAGGATGGGGACCCGGATTTCTAATGATACAATCCTACCACATGAAATGTAGTGTGCAGAAGGTTGGTTCGTTCTCCTTGCTTCCTTTCCTCTCTCTAAAACCTAGATTTAATGGAAAACCTAGATCTAATGGAAAGGGGTTGGTGGTGGAAAGAAGACTTGGAAACAGAGGTTGGGATATATTTGCGGCTGAATCTGGAGCCGTGATTGACTTCCTGTTCCCTTCATGATTCCGCGGCCTTTTGTTCTCTTTGCTCTCATGATGAAAGCTAAGCGAAACGAATGAAGCGCGTGATTTCTTTTATTTACATGAAACAAAAACCACACAATCCACCACCAAACAATTACACCTGGGAACTGAAAACCGCTTGGAGGTAACGAGAGTAGTTAACTGGTGCCTTCACGATCAATCCTATGAACTCATCAAAAATCTTTCAAGTCTTCTGTCCTCGAATTCTATCACCTAATCTGTCAACTTGGCGAGAGAACGTCGTGAGGCCCGTGTCCAGCATGAAATTCAGCTCAACCTGGCAAAGGCGGACAAACACTGCAAATCTGCCACGAGGCCTCAAGCGATGTGCCCCTTTTGTGACGCAGGCCTTGTCTCCTCCCACAAGCTTGAGCAGGTCGTAGCCTTTACCCAGAAAGTCCTGGCACGGGGTCTTTGGAGGGTACTTGGATCCTGCAAGCCCAAGAGCTACCAAAAAAAAAAAGCGTGGCTTCAATCTGAGCGCAGGAAAGCCGTCTTTTCTGGGCATGCCAGGCTCTGGAGCGTCGCAATGCAGGCCCGCACATGGAGAACCCGCGATATGCATGAAACCGCCCCAGGAAGTGATATGTACATGCGACCTCTGGAAACAGAAAGAAATCTGGCGGTAGACTACCATAGACAAACCAAGTACCACGATGTTGCTTTGGTCAGTCGCTCTTTTGAAACTACAAGAAATCAGATTATGCCTTTGGCCGTAAAGCCACATAGGCATTGAGGTTGGCTGCTTGCGCAGCAGTGACCGTCAGGGGTCGGCGTGCAGGTGCGAGGGCCTCCTCGTCTCAGCCTGTCGGGGAGATGGACAGATTGACGAGATGCTCTTCAAACAACAACCGCCGCCATCCGACAATAAACTGAACGACGCCGCGTCACGCAGATCTACACTGAATCTACGCCTTCCGGAAAATATCCCAATGCCGCTCCCATGCGTCATCCGTCCTCCGTTGGTAGAAAGGCTTGCTTCTGTAGTAGAAGTCGCCTCGGCCACTGGTTTCCACTTCACGGCATGTCGAAACATGGGGAGTTGATGCCCAGTCTGGCACCTTCCTTTTGCTTCGAGAGTGAGCATGATCTTCTTTAAAGCATCCTGTGAGGGACCGGGCAGTGCATTCACCGGGTGACAAAGATCGCAGCTGCCTCGCTGCCCACAACTGCCGAGGAATCTTTGGAATGCAGCCTGTGTGCCGGGAATAACACTAACGTGGACGAGCCGCATTCTGAATCCACCCCAGTCAAGATTTCTTTACACTAAATGTAGGGCCCGGGCTTGGCCAGCCTGGCGCGCAGCTCCTCGGAACAGACCATCTCCCGACAGTGTGCAAATTCGAATCTGGCAGCGCACAGGTGATGGAAAAAGACCGTCACTCCTCCGACTGCCTCTCGCAGATGGACAGGCTTCGGCGCTCTTGCGCTTGGGCAGTCCTTCTGTACTTGTCAGACTTAAAACTGAAAAATGCGCTGCGGACCGCAACACATGTTGAATGTTATTCACACATTCGAGCTACAAGCACAAGGCGGCATCTCTGGATACATCTGGATACAGCCTGAGCATGTATGCATATACACAAATGCATACGTATGCGTATATGTACATGTATGTGAATACTTTCAACTGTGTACACGGATTACGTGTATATGCGCGTGTCTATGTATGTATGTATGTATGTATGTATGTATGTATGTATGTATGTATGTGTGTATGTATGTATGTAAGTATGTCAGTATGTATGTATTGTATCTTCTACATGTACACATGGTTGCCTCTCTACCTGTCGACATTTTTAGCCTCTTTGCGCCTGCCGGGGTGTGGCATGATTTGTATGTCATGGTACCTATTATGAGTATGTGTATATATATATATATGTACATATATTTACTTACATAGGAATATGTCAATTTGTTGCTCATTACATGTATGTACATATATACACATAGATAGGTAGAGAGCCAGCTAGCTAGCTAGCTAGCTAGCTAGCTAGCTAGCCAGCTAGATAGATGGATAGATGGACGGATGGCTGGATAGATGGATAGATGGATAGATGGATAGATGGATAGATGGATAGAAGGATAGATGGATACATAGATAGATACGTAGGTAGACAGATAGATAGATAGGTAGCAGATAGAGATAGATAGTAAGTATGGTGTGTATATACATATATACATAAGCTTGTATGCTTTGTGCATATTTGATGAAATATGCGCCCCCATTGCGTGTTGGCCTCTACTTACTTACTTGTCAGGGGACAGGGGTCTAGCCATTGCGGTCGCCCTTGCACGCGCTTGCGCGGTGCCGGATCTGAAGCAGGTCCTAAACCTGAATTGTTAGTCTGCGGCAAAGATGCGGAGGTTTAAAACAACTCTCAAATTGTATACAGACATGTGTGAGCCACGCCTACAAGCACGCACAACACAAATGACTGCAAAACCATGAGTCTTGAGTCCTTGGATTTAGGCGTCGGTCTCTGTAATAGATTCCTTCTACTGGCTCATCATACTTGCAAAAGACCACGTGCTGCATTGGTGGTTGATGATTATGCCTATCCTGTTGGACTCACCATAGAAGACATACACACAGGAAGCTGAGGAAGCTCCTGACTTCGTCTTCTTGGACTTTATTTCGAACCTGCTCGAGCTCCTGTCATACAGTGCAACGTTGAGCGCAATATATGCAAGTTACAAGGAGACTTCAGCAGGACTTGCAATAGTCTTTCCAAGGCCGAGGAAGCCCTCCAAACCTCTGCCCAACAGTCAAAAGCTTGGCAACGAAGGCAATTCATCCCATAATCCTCCTCAAGGTGCTTCACCTGCACCTGGGCAAATAACACAGTGATGCAAGAAAAAAGCAGGACTGCAGGTGAGCGGTCATGCCTCGACCCTCCCTGCATCAAGCTGGCAGGCGGAGAACTCGGCCTGCAGAACTCAATCCAGCAATCTGAAAGACACTGGCTAAAGTGGCTAAAGCATAGAGCGCAGTACTGCAGTTATCGCCGGCTCCTGGAGCTGATGCTCCTCCGACAAAAGTCCCTCCAAAACCTGCGGAGGCAAGGCAAAATCACCTTGCCGTTCTGAACAGAACTGTGCAATAGGCCTCACTGCGGGTGACAGGTAAGGCTGTTGAAGTAGTGTCGGAAACAAGCGAGCCTGCAGACCACCAGAAGGCCACTTCGTTCCGTACACTTCTGACAAGTTTTCGCCTGCAGCAAGCCGGCCTGACTTGCGCAGTTCAGCTGCGAGACTTTGAGCGATACTTTGCAGCTTCTGGACTTGCTCGATCTTGTCGCGAGTCTCATCCAGCTTCCTGGTCTCGTCCAAGAGCTCTGCCTGAGCTTGGATGTCTTCGTCCTTTCGCACAGCTTGATCCTCAACGGTGGAGTCGTGCAGCATCTCTTGGATGCGCTCCTCTGTCTCCAAGCAAAGGGACTGCACTGCTTGGAAAGATTCCTCGAGGCCCGCTACGGTTTCTTGGCTTTCAGAGAGCTGACCCTTCAAATCGGCAGCAATCTGCTCTTGGAGCGTCATGCCCATGCCATGGCTCGCATCGCTAACCGTGGCTGTGACCTCCGTCGTTTCCCGAAGCTCCAGCTGCAACTCCGATGTCCTGCTGTCGGCTAGCCGAATCTCCGAGCGCAAGCGGTTTACAAGTCGGCCATCTTCTGCCTGGATCTTCTCAGAGCGACTTTGCAACTCCTGGCGTTCGACCTGTCTGCGGAGACAGTCGCTCTCATACTCCTCTGCTTCCAGCAACTCTTCCTCCATTCCTTTCATCTCCTCAGCCTGTAGCTGAACGCTGGCTCCGAGGCTCTGCAGCCGCTGCTGCAGTTCATTAGCCTTCTGCTTTCTTTCTTTCATCTCTGAGGCATACCGGACTTGAAGGATTTTGGCTTCTTCCAGTGCTGCTTCCGAACATCTTTCGGTCAACTGCACGTCCTTTTCAGCCAGGCTCTGTCTCAGCTCCACGGCTGCCAGCTCCAAGCGCCTGCGCTCCTGCTCGAAGACGTCTACAGCCAGCTGGGCTGCCATGCTCCGCTTCAGGCAACCACTACCCTGGCTATCTGGACATCTACCTGCTTTTTTGAGCCGCTTTAGTGAATATCGACATAGTGATCTAAACTCCAACACCAACAGCAGGAAGAACGCCTTCGAACAGCAGCAAGCGGTGAGCCGTGTCCTGTGAAAGGCTCGAGAAGCATCGCCGTTCCTGCAAGAAAACACCGAAACGTGAGTTTTGCAATGCATTCCATGCAAACCACTCCAAAGGTGCTGGGATGCTGTCGGGCAGATCACCGAAAAAAGGGTCCTCCACAAGCAGCCCAGGGTGTCTTGCATTCCGGGGAAGCGCGAATGCCTCGTTTGAGCGGTAAGCAAACGAAGACCAAAACCCCAAGATCGGCTTCCGAACATGTGCCAGGTTTCACAGAGGGCATCGCGCAGGAAACCCTCCGCCAGGCAATCTGCCGACCTTCGCCCACTACACATCTTCCCAAGCAAACCATCTCGGCAGCATTGGTGACTTGTCGTTTTGTTCTGCTCGTATAATATGGTCGCTTTCAAGGGTCCTTCCTGTGCTTCTATCTTCTATCAAACTATTGTCTACATAGCTCCACAACAGCTCCACCGCCTGGCCTGCACAAAACGCTGCAACAAGCAGGCATGCGAGGCCGATGTTGAGACGGGCTCCTCAAACGCACCAGACATGCCCCCACAACTTGTTCTCGGGATTTCGTGCTGTGCCCCCATGCTTCACAGGCCTGTGCGGCGTGAACGGAGAATCTGCCGCATTGCTTCATTCGGCACTTGCCTATGCCAACATGATATCCAATTGAGAGACCATTCCTGCAAGCCAAAGATCACCAGTGCATGTGAGATGTCTGAAGCTGTACATTCTGCCATAAAGACATGATCGGGCGGGCCTTGTTGAAGCCGAAACGGAATACGGCAGATACATGCTGAGTTGTCCCTTTGACTAGGCCCCATCATTTCAACATCCGGCACAAGGGTTAAAGCGAATCCAGACAAGCAGAGCACACTCCCCTCGTCTTCGTTACAATCAGCTTTGTTCAGACGGGTAAAGGGTTCTTCGCTGTGCACGGTCTTCAGTCCCGTGAATATGCGTGAACATAACGCTTTCATTTTGTATAAAAGAATACGATGTTGACGAAAAGCAGCTTTTATTATCTGTGCCCAATCCTCCCTCAGGTCCCGGATGATCCCGCAGCCACCCCTGATGAGTATTGCGCCTGGCTCACGAAACCATGATACTGTAAAGGCTTGCAGAGCTTCTCATGCAAGCCTCAAGTGGTGCTGAGGGGAGAGTGTGCAGTGCCAGGAAGGCACCTCACCATGGCTAAGCAACATCACAACTCTCAACCGAGTCTAGCATTCATCAGCAAGTGGCCTCAGAATAGACCTTAGAATGTCAAGCCCATCAATCCAAAAGCAACTGCAAGTGCAGAGAGAGAGAGAGGGAGGAGACAGAGAGAGAGCTAGAGAGCGAGCGGGCGGGCGGGCGGGGGAACAGAGCTCACATTCCGTTGCAAGGATTCCTCTGTTTTCACGGCTGCCACCGTCGTCAAGGCATGAGTTATGTCGGACATGCTCGGCAGCACTTGGATCGTCCTTGAGGTAAAGGAGGTGCTACTTGTACAGGCTCGGGTCAAGCCCACCCGGCCTGGACCAAGACCTGGGCACTTTCCAAGGATTATCTCCTAGGGTTTGCGCCGCACCACCCGGTCCCGACAACGATCCCACTGCAGCTGAAAGACTTACCCCTCTAAGAACCGAACAAGCTGCTGAAAGCACAAGCGAAGGAAGTATGTACAACCCTACATAGGCTTGGGGTCTTCTGTATAGTTTGCCACCCTACGACCTGCAGCTTGAAAGCCTTCGACCAAGGAAAACTGTACTCAAAATGACCCAGCATCCAGCTGTCCACAAAGTTGTTCGTGTGGCCAGTGGTGTGTGCCACGATGGGGTCTGCCCCTGCCTGGGTTTTTTTTTCAAACACGACAGTCTGTGTCAGGTCAACTCGAGGAAGGAAGCATAGCTTCCTAACGCGCGCTGACACACCAGACCCCCGAGCCGGTCTAAACCCTACGATACATAGGCTGGCTATGACATATGACCACTGGACTCCGGAACAATCTACAAATTTCGATTCCGAGTCCGTTGACTCTGCCGGCCATCTACAGTGTAGACAGGCCCAGGCAACAGCACTGAAACTGCCCCGCAAAGAATCTGACACGGATTGACGCTTCGCAGGCTGAACTCCATGCAGAAGCTGAGAGAAGCCATCCCGAGCCAGGCACTAAAACCCTTCCAAGTCGATCAAGAAGCAAAGTATTTGGACCCCGAAAACTGCTAGGTTTCGAAAGTAAAGCAGTAGAATTGGCACCAGAAACAGTCGAAGCAAGGACTATGATCCTGTCGCCGATGACGACGATGAAAATGACGATCGTTTGAAAGAACAAATTGAAGCCTTGATGATTGTTGTGATGATTATAATATTGGTGATGATAATCATGAACCTGATGACGACGTTGACGAAGACGGAGATGAAGACGGTGAGGGTGAGGTTGCTGGCGATGATGAGAGTGGTGGTGGCGCTGATTGCTGATTGGCGAAGGTAATAGGACCCTACTGTTGTGCGAGTCGTCTTTGTTTGCACCGAAATAATGGCCATCACATCATCATCATCATCATCATCAGCAGCAGCATCATCATCATCATCATCATCATCATCATCAGGCATCACCACCACCACCACCACCAGCACCAGCACCAGCACCAGCAGCAGCAGCAGCAGCAGCAGCAGCAGCAGCAGCACCAACAACCACAACAACAACAACAACAACAGCCGCAGCCGCAGCAGCAGCCGCAGCAGCAGCGCAATCAGCCTGTTCAGTTCCAACAACATGTGGGTGCGTGGGTGTTCCAAAACCGCAGAACTTTACTGTTTATTCGCCCAGCTGCCCTTGTCCCATGCATCCAAGTCCAAGCACGGAAGACCACGCTGTCATGGCGCGTCGGCAGAAAGGTCCAAGCAACTCTGAGATCGGTCGCATGGCCTCGAGAACGCCAGATATCCCTTTGCGCAACGTTTTGGAGCTTCAGCTCGGCGCAAAAGACTGAAGAAGCGAGTCCTTTTGAAGGGCCCTATGACCCTATGAAAGGAGGTATCACTACATGTCTACAAACTTTCAGGAGCAAACGAGGTGTGGCGTCGGAAATCAACTTCTTGTCTTACCACGGGCCCTGGGAAAACATATTTTCTCTTGAAGCTTTTGCTCTTCACCCTCCCATGCGGCAAAGATGAAGGCTTCGTTCTGAAACCTTCAGAAAAGCGAAGGTTCTTGAACATCTGACATTTTGACAAGCACGAGTGCATAGCGAAGGCTGGACAATCTGCGTAAGGTCGGCCTTTAAGGCAGCCCTGCCACGAGGCTGATGTCGAGGTGCTCTGGTGCATCTGGCTGGTACGACTCCCAAAAGGCTAACAAGCTGAACATACACACCGGGGCCGAGCAAGAACTTGCAGACCTCGCTCCAGAAAGGGTGCATGCGGACTGCATCTGACGAGGCATCCCGCCAAAAGACACAGCAACGATCAAAACTAGCGCGGGTGCAAGGCAGAAGCGGCAAGTGACAGGCCACAACGTCCTGCGCGATTCTGGCTGGGACTCAACCAGCTCGACAAGAGCCATGACCCATGCACGGTTACCAGTTGCTTGGCTCAAGTCCTGAGATGTGCACCTGAAGGGAGATGGCCGAGAGGAAGGTAACCCGTCACAAGCTCGTCATCGGATACTCCCTTCAGATGCTTGGGGGCCACTTCTGTGTCAGGAGCAGCTAACACCACACCGGCAACCAGATGCAAGCGCAAAGGCCACCAAAAGATTGCTGCTCTGACCACCAGCCGGGGCCTCTGAAACCGGTCCAAACCACCGACGCCAAGGAAACCACGGAGTTCGAGCCGTTCGAGCGGCTTCGGCTTGGGCACTGCTAGCTGCCTGATATTGTCCTACTGAATCCACTCACTAGAACCTGCCCATCCTCTAGACCTGTAGGGGACACGAGTTTGCCGGAGGCCCTGCGAGAGAGGCACGAGAGCGACGACCGGCTCTCTGCAGCCCTCACCTTCATACAGAAGAGTCGGCTTGTGGAAGCCTGGCCTGATGCGCGATCCCATTCCGGCGGCAAAAAAGACACCAAGAGGCAGAGGCTAAGCTGAAAGGCTTGCACCGGTGCCGGCGCTCTGGCCCCAAGATTCCTAACTCCCAAGATGTGCCGAAGTTATGCGGCATCTGCTCTGCTTGTCGAGTACCTGTCTAAGCTGTTATGCACGGAAGCCTTGATTCGATTTTCGACTTCAGGCATCTACCCCTTGAAGCAGTGACTGGGCTTCACCGTGCTTCTGCTCAGCCACTGCGGCATTAAGTAGCTACTTTAAAGCCAGATGTGCACACACCAGTGAGGCTCCATGCCGTCACAGCCGCAACTTGTCAGCAGAAAATCGGCAGCGCCGGAACACTAGGAACGTGTGCCAAGCTCAGT